GAGTTGCAGGAGAGGCTGGGAAGCTCACTGAGAGGTGAGAGCAAGAACGTGGCGCCGGGCGGGGCTCCTCGGCCATTTTCTGTAGCCATGTGTGTGTTTATACATTCATTTGTCTTAACAGATCGTCACTGAGGGCTTCCTTGTCGAGTGGGCACTGTTAACACGGGGCGGGGGGTTGGATTGTTCTTCCTCGTTGGGGCCGCCCTATGTATCGGGGGAGGTTTAGCCCCGCCCACCAGATGCCAGCAGCATCCTCCCTCCCCCAGATGTGACAACCAGAAATGTCTCCCGCCATTGTGTGCCCTGGCTGGGGACCACTCACGTGAACCCTGCTGTTTCAGCTTGTTCCCGTCTCTTGCTCCCTCGGGCGGAGCAGGTGACGTTCGCCTCCCGTCTCTCCTCACCTGAGGCCCTGCTCTTCCATCTCGAGGACACAGACCTGGGACCTGGGACCAGTCACTGTGCCTCTGTCCCCCGTCTGTAAATTAGGGATGTACAGTATCCGCCGGGGAAGGTTCTATGAAGACGAAGACATACAGAAAATACTTAGCACAGTGTCGCTCCTGTTCAACACATGTTTATTTTTGTCATGCCCAGCTGGGGGTGTAGCAGTAAACAAAAGAAAGGCCCTGACCTTGGGGTCACAGCTCATGAGGGGGCAGACCCATTAGCCTGCGATTGTGATTCATGTAACAAGTGCTGTGATGGGGAAGGCGAAGGGAGGTGGGAGCCGGGAGGAGGGACACTCATCCAAGAGATGAGGAAGGAAGGCTTCCTGGAGGAGGTGGAATGCCAGCCGGGACCTGAAAGATGAGTACAGGTTACTGGGTGAAGGAAGGGGAGGAATAACGAGATCTGGTCACCTGTCTTAAAAGAAATTAAAAGCTTTCCTGAAAAATTAGGTCCAATTTAATGGGCTGTAGCAGCAAACAGGATCCCAGTTTACACCCCCACTGTGATTCCTGACATGGAAGAGGGACCAGGGCAGAGGTCAGGTGCTCAGTTAACAGCCTGGAGGGGACTGGCCCTCCCTCCTCTCCCCACCACAGGCGATGGAGGTAACTTGGTGCTAAAAGCCTCCCCAGGTGTCTCAGAGGGAACAGCGCAGCGTCTCAGATCCATGGGTGGGCGCTGCTGCTAGCACCACCTCTGGGGGAGGGAAGGTGGTGGACAGAGCCAGGGGAGCTCACAGGCTTGTATCAAAGCTCACATCCCATTGGCCTCAAGGGGTCGGAGAGGTGGGGCCAACACCAGGCCTCCAGGTGCTGCCTGGCTGGGCCCCGGGTGATGGTGTGTTGTTTCTCTTTGTGCAGCTACAGCCTCCGCCTGGCGACCCGATGCCCCACGCCTGCCGCCCCGTACATCACCAGGCAGTGCAGGAGTGTCAAGGCCACGACCGCAGCTCAGCTCCAAGGACCCCTCTTCAAAGAGTAGAAGCTTCACCTGCTCCCTGACAGGTGTGAAGAGGGGGGAGCAGCTTCTGGATCCTTTTGGTGGCTCTGGTGGGGGAGGGGAGGCTGGGCTTGGGGTGGCTGGGAAGGAAAGAAAGGGGGTGGGCATGATGGCTTGTGGAGTACCCCCTGTGTGCCGGTTGGGCACGGGTCTTCCTGCAAGAAGGGCGCATAATGGTGCAGAGTACAGACTCTGGATCACCTGGGTTCAAATCCCAGCTCTGCCACTTACTGGCTGTGGGACCTCAACAAGTTAGTCTCTTCGAGCCTCAGTTTCCACATCGATAAAATGGGACAATAGTATCTACTTTGTGGGATTGTGAGAATTACAAGTGTAAAATGCATGCAAAGCACCTAGAACTGTGCCTGGCACATAGTAAGCAGTAGGTAAGTATTAGCTATCATTGTTGTAACAATCCTATATAATAAAGAGGCAATATGCAAATTGACTGTCACACCCTTGCATAAGATGGCCACCCCCATGTGGTCAAAAGATGGCCGCCACAAGATGGCCGGCAGGGGAGGGCAGTTGTGCATGACCAGGCCTGCAGGGGAGGGCAGTTGTGGGTGTAATCGGGCCTAAACCGGCAGTCGGACATCCCCCGAGGGGTCCCAGATTGGAGAGGGTGCAGGCTGGGCTGAAGGACACCCTCTCCCTAGTGCACGAATTTTGTGCACTGGGCCTCTAGTAGTAATAATAGTAATAATAATAGTTATAATTAATAATAATAATAATAATAATAATATTAATACTCAGCACTTAATTGATTCCCTAAGAGGCTTTAAACCTAGAAAATATTTGAAAATAAAAGAAATACTCATCTGTAAAATAATAAATTTAGATTTATGTTGACCCCGAATTCTCTTTTCTAGATTTTCTGATGGCAAAGCCTGAATCATTCATAGAAACCGGACTTTTCATCTTTAGGGGGCTGGTCTGGGTCAGTGATTTGGGGCAGGCTTAGGTTTCCCTGTTGGTGACACAGCGTGTCTTCTTTCATTGTGTCCCCAAGACCAGCCTCTCAGCATAATTGAAGAACCTTGACATTGGGGCACCCATTAAAGATACAGACCCCAGGGCCCCACTCTGATGTATGAAGAGCATGCTGATGCGCAGGGCCTGGGAGCCTGGTCAGCCCTGAGTCAGGGCATGGCCCTGGGTGGATGCCTCCTTTTCCCTTATCTTCAAACATGTGCAGTTTTCCAGGGAAGCCCGAGATCAGGGTGAGGACTCTTGCTGTTTTGCAGATGCCCCTTCTGGCTGTGTCCTACATGGCGGAGAGCTCCCACTGCTGGCAGCTCTCTTTCCAGCCCCATCAGAGGTTGGGGAGGTTGAAATGGACAGTGTGTGGTTAAGTGCACACTTTCTGGAATTGAATCCTGGCGGGTATTTCACTTCTCTGTTTCACTTTGCCCATCTGTAAGAGTGTCAGCGGTTAGTTAGTACGTGGAAAGCACTTAGGAAAGTACGTGCCTCGGATGTAGCAAGCCTCCCATAAATAAGCACTGCTGCTATTATTCTCATTGGATTACTGTATTATTAGTAGTAATACTTTAATAATTATTATTACTAATAGGAATGACAACCAGGTTCCCTGGGTGAGAGAATCGAACCTCTGAACTTGACTCAGCCCAATCCCAGGCTCATATTCCACCCAATGCAGCAAACACTGTGAGCTGCTCACGCATGCCTGGCTCTGGGCCACGTGCTGTAAATGAGGCTCCCAAGGAGGAAGCATGGCCACGCCATTCCCTCGCACACTCAGGCAATGGAGTGTGCTGGACCTGGGTTCAAGTCCCCCCTCTGCCACTTGTCAGCCGCCTGACCTCGTAAAGGTTACTTTTCTCTGAGCCTCCATTTCTTCCATGCAAAATGGGGGTCCCTGTCACCTTGCCAGCATTAGAGTGAAATGCAGTGGCAGCCTAGCCCCTTTGGAAAACTATTTGGCAGCATCAACTGGAGCTGAACAGATGCGAACTCCCGGACCCAGCGATTCCACTGCCAGGGACACACTCAGAGAACACGTACAGGAATAGTCACATGTTATGTAGGTACGGCCTACTCCCCAGCACTTCTGCAAAAACATGTGCACATGTGCACCATATGTGTGATTTAGACCATGTAAGAATATCCCAGCGAGATTATGCATGATGGCCCCAAACTCCCGGACCTGCATTGGCAGTAGCCTCGGCAGGTGGAAGGACGATCCTCCAACAGACTCCTACAGCGAGGAGAGTGAAAATCTACACCGCGCTTGCAGACACGTTCAGCAGCAGAAGCCAGGCACATAGGATGTGTACTGAGACATTTCATTTAATTAAGTTAAAAAATGGGGGAAATCAGTCTGTGATGCCAGAGGTCAGGATATTGGTTATTTTGGGGGTGAGCGTTAGTGGTTATCCTAAAAGGGGGGCAGGGTCCGGAGCTGATGGGAGCTTGGTCCTCCCGTCCTACTTCCTGACCTGGGTGCTGGTTACGCAGGTGTGTGCGCTGTGAAACCTCATCACGATCTGCTTTCCTCTGGATGTGTGCTGTGCTCCACCAAACAGTTAAATCATAAAAGTGAAGTGGGAGAGTGCTTGAGCAGCCCATGGCCCTGAATAAGCAGCCACCATTATTATTGTTCTTTTTTTTGTCTCCTCAGCACCTGAAGTGACCTGGAATCAGAGAAGCCAAAGGGACTGGCCTTCCGCCCTGTAGGGAGTAGCGACCTATTCCAGTGCTAGAGTTTGTGAGAGAAAGGGAGTGCACGTGTGAGCGTGCACGTGTGAGCGTGCACGCCTGCCTGCCTGCGTGTGGTCTCCAGAACCCTAGGGAGGCAGGGCACCAGCTGATTCCACACCAACGAGCATGTTCTGCAGCTCGGCCTTCCTGCAGGGGCGGGACCTCTCCTACTATGCAATTTTTCAAGAGCTCCTTGATCCTGCTTTTTGCTTCTCGAGTTGTCCTTCACTGCGGCGGGGACCTGGGTCTGGCCCAGGGGTCAGCTCCAGTCGTGTCGGAGGAAGACCTTCAGGAGGAGGCCAAGCTCCCCTTCCAGCCGCCCCCACCCCCGCCCTCATGTCCCACACCCCTCACGATCTCTGGGAATCGTAGCGTGCAGACATGTCGGAGCCTTGCTGACCCTTTGGTCTGTGCACTTGGAAAACCTTCCTGGCCTGCTAGCCTGAGCTGTCGGCGCTTGAGTCATTTCCAGATTTGAAATCGTGGTTAGTCCATGTGCATCGGAGAAAGCCCTGGTCCCCGTGTATGGATCGGGTTCCTCCATGGGAGAAGCAGGGGGCGGGGAGGGGTGGTGTCCTGTGTCCGGGAGCTCCTCTGCCTCACTTGGTGGGACCAGCAACACTCTTAGTGTCTGAGCTTCTCAAATGAGCTGAAAAGGGAAACAAACAAATAGAAATTGGGGAATGAAAGTTAAGGTGGAACATGAAAAAGCGAAGGTGGGGCGGGGAGAAAAAGAGATTTCTGGGAGTTCTCCATCGCCTGCCAGGGGCACTGGAGAAGGCCCCTGCTCTGGTGGGACAGGCCATGCCTTGGAGACACGGGTGAGCTGAGCTAGGAGTCGGGACCTGGTGCGGGTCTTGGGTTTGTGCCTTTGGGGCAGACCCCAGACGAGGATGCCCGAGGCCCCTCCCACCTGTGCCTCACCCCGTTTTCAACAGTAACTTAACCAACCCAAAGTGGAGGGAGGGGACCGGGAAGCGTGTGCGTGGTCACACACACAAAAAGGGACTTTTTTTCAGGGCTACTATGGTTGATCTTGCAACTCTGTACATATGTATGTAGACACTTTTCAAAGCACGTATTTATGTCCCTGACTGTAAATGCCCCGTTTTTAAAGTTTTATAACTTGTGTTATTTAATTAATCAGTCGACCGGCTGCCTGTGTGCGGGCTCTGATAACGGTCCAGGAGAAAGTTCTCGCGAGATCCTCACATGGGCAGAAAAACACCACTGATCGTTGGCCTACATCCCAGTTTTCCTAGTTCCCACCCGGCTAACAACTGCTGTTTGTTTTAAACGTTCGTAAACTGGAAGGAATCCTTTTGCCCGCTTCTGAAACTCGCCCTCTTGAGCATGAACATCCGTGGCTGTCCCTTATCCTCACGAGACGATGTTGTCCCATAAATGTCAACACTCACGTACTGTACCCAGCCTCTCAGTTCTTGAGGGTTTTCCCCATTCAGCAGCGAGGGAGGCGTAGGTACCCAGAACTTGGGAGGTCACCTTCAGCGATTGGCAAATCCTGGGAGTGTTGTGGGGTGGGGGGTTGGGGGCCACTCCTTTTTTGCATGTGCAAACATGCTGGTCAGCTGTCAACCTCCGGAGCCCCAGGGGAAGGGGGAGTCGTTCACAGAGTGGCTTCCCTGGCCCACGGGAGCTAGGGAGGTGGGTTTGGCCCTCCCAGGGAGACAGTTCTGTATCTGCCATGTGAAGAAAATTAACAATAAAAGTGTGAAGTGCGATTGTAAGGAAGAAGCGTGGGCGTGGTCATTTGGGTTCCTGTGTGTTATGTCTTTCGTTTTGGTGACATCTGTGTTGTTGGGATGGGAATGGGCTGGGGAAGGGGGGTTCTCCGAGGGCTCCACTCCTGCCATGAGAGGAAGCTGAGGGAGTGAGGGAGCTCACGGTGGAAACATCTTACCTGGTGATCAAGGTCACCTGCCTTCAAATCCCCCTCCCACCTGCCGGCAGTCAGGTAAGCCATTGCATGACTAGGAAAACCACCTGTGACTGCAAATACGTTCTCCTTAAACAGCTTTATTGAGGTCTAGTTCATATACCATATCACTTACCCATGTAAGCGTACAAAGCTGTGGTTTTTAGTTCATGGAGTTGTGCAACCCCCCCCTATCAATTTTAGAACATTTTCACCCCCTTCCTCTCCGAGCCCCCGGACTTTTGCTCCCCCCTGAAGCACGGCCAGCCCAGAAGCGCGGATTTAGAAGTGCGGACTCGGGTTTCCAGCCAGGGTTGATTGGCAGCTATGCTCCCTACTGGCTGTGTGACCTTGGGCTGGTCACTGACCTCAGCTGGGTTCCTTGTTTGTGCCCACCTTCCTATCTCCTAGCGAGGATTAAATTAGCTACCACTGAGTCTCCTTAAGGCGAGTTTACTTATCTGCTTCCTGGATCACTTGGCTGATTGTTGAAGGAGAGATTCGTAGCCTTCACCCCCACTTCCACTGAATCAGAACCATCCCTGGGTGGGTCTTGGTCACCTATGTTTTTGTTAACTAATTCTGTTGTCCCACCAAGTTTAATGCCCGCTAAGGTCAAGGATGATAGCCATAGCAATGACTGAAAATAAACATCCCTGGCTTGAGCCAGATCACCGTGGTCTCGGGGCCCAAGGGCTCAGCGCCCGTGGGCAAGCCAGGTGCTCCTGGTTAATGCTGGTTAAGGACAAAAGGAGGCTTGAGGCCACCGCTAGCTGCTGGGCCCCGGGGGTGGGAAGTGTTTCTCTGAGCTTCCTGCCTGGGCTCCTTTCGGTGTGAGGTGAAGACAGAGAAGCAGTGATCTGGGTTGGGGTGGTGGGGTGTCCAGCTCCCTCTGACCTGCTGGGTCCAGAGGGTGTAAGTCCACTAGGCTCTGGGACTACCCGTGTCAGAATGCCCCGTAGCTTTGCCTTGCTGCGGCTCGACTGAGGAGACCAGCTGCTGACGCCTCACTGGAGGGGACCTGTGTGCAGAGGGGGACCTGGCCCAGGGTCCACCCCTTCTTTACAGAGCTGAGTGGGGTCAGGCATGAAGTTGCCTGCCCGGTGGGAACCAGAGGCTGCAGCCCGTCCCCATCGATGGAGCACAAAGTAAGTTTCTCCCTTCTCCTACTCTAGCTGCAAGGGCAGATAAGGGGAGGGGCGCTGACTTCCATGCAGGGCCTGGGCTGGGGCCACGGAGAGTCAACAACTGGCACAGATCCAAGAGTGAGGGTCTTCCTAAATGTGGCGCCCTAATGCCTTACTTATTTCCCCTGGCCCTGGTCCTGCCACCTGTGATGCTGTGTGTTTCTCTGGACGGGGAGGGAGGCGGCGAACGTCTCTGAGTCTCACCATGTTACTCTAAGAACCCTCCCAGGGCTTCTCCTGCACGTAGGATAAAATCCAACTCTCTTTTCTGGTTTAGAAGGCCCGCTGGCCCCAGCCACACTTTGCACACCACCTCCCCCGCCTCTGCCCTCTCTCTTCCAAAGCCATAGCAATGGTCTTTCAGCTCCTGGACGAAGGAAGCACCCTCTGACACAGGGCTTTTGCACGAACTACTACGTAATCACCCTGCCTGCAATGACTCCCTCTCCTCCAATAGCCACGCAGCTATCAGCCTAAGTATTGGCTCCTTCCCTGACCTCTCACTTGGCCTTGTTGCTTTAACTTACTATCTGAGCTTTTCTAGTTTCCCAGCTTCCCTAGAATGTCAGCCCCTGGGAGCAGAGGGACCGTATATGTCTCTTCCTGTGTTGGCTTCCGCGTCCAGCACCCAGTAGGCC